AATTAATACATCTCAACAATAAATTCAAGTACAACAACCACCTTATTAACGTAATTTACCACACGTCACTAAAATACACTAGAGGATTTAGTGTAATTAAAAGTTAATTACATTTTAACATCAAATAAAACTACAACAACCATTAACAACATGAATCACCACACGTTACTTAAATACACAAAAGGCTTATGTTTGAATAAAACTTAATTACATTATCCAATGGCCAACATTTGCAAACTTATTTACATTCTCCAAAAACTATAATTATACATGAAATAGCCAAATACAAAATAGCAAAAAAAAAAATCATCTTCTAATAACTTTCAATTTTGAGATGGATTGGCATCTGCCGGTTCTTTTCCAAAACCTGAAAAAAAATATATAAAGTAGGGTGAGCTATATGCTCAGTAGGTGACACTTAAGACATGCGTCTTGGGTCCCCGTGAATCCAATCAAAGCATAGGCCAATGGGAATTAGGGAGCATGCAACATAAGGGATTAATATAACATTCCAACCAAATTCGAATACAAAGAATGTAATGCCATGGAATGCGAATGCATGTCAATGTCACTCCCCATTTTCATTCTCAAAATCATCACTTTCAACTGTTAATACAGCCCGCCATTTGGTGACCCCGCCGCGACACGAGAGGAGGATTGGCTAGTGTCCCAGACCCTTGGTAACCCAGCGGCGTCATTATGGGGCCCCAGCAAGCTCAACTACGCTAGGGCGACTCCCTAGTCCCCTCTAGGCTATATTAACCTCCGGCCCGTTGGTAACCCCACACCGACCGGGTTTGTATAAAACCATTTTATCCAAAACACTTTCCCGAAATTCCCAATTTCATTTCGAAACAAATTTCTCACATTTCATGCAAACCAATGGTACATGTATGCACATATATTCCATACTTTCAATATTATGGCATTTAAAGAATTACAACACCCAATCAAACATATATCATGTTCAATATTTCTAGAAAGGTCATCAACATAATAAACACAACAAAGTATCATCTAGACATACTTTTCACATAGAACAAGTCATATTCAAGATTGTGAAATTCTCTAGACATCACTTACACAACATTAAAACAATTAATTCTCAATTTAAGCATGTTCATTACACAAAGAAGATAAAATTCACAAAAAAGCAAGAACATCAAGAATTACGGGTCCCTACCTCAAGTTTGCACCAAAACCCTAAAGATGGGTCTCAATTTCGAATTCCCTAGGGAGGCTCAAAGCTGGAATTGATGGTGCTCACGCGTAGAGCTTGTCGTGCTCTCCGTTTTGCCTCAAACGGCTCTTAAAAACTCGAAGAATTGAAGAAGTTACCAAGATCCAAAGTTTGCTTCTCAAATGGAAGGAAGAAAGAAATGGAAATGAGAAAGAGAAGAAAGCTACGGGAGAGAGGAATGAGAATGAAGAAATGTGGTCTCTAGACCACTTTGTGGTTAATGGTGGGTCCCACCAATTTCCAATTTTATTTTCCATTTTCTTTTTACTCCAATTTTACACCACATACACACACAAGTGAACCACATGCAAATACTACTTAATCCACATAATTTAAAATGTACACAATGCAAATGGACCTAACCACAATCCTGTACACATAACGTGAGGAGACGAAAATGCCCTTGCGGCGACAAAATTCTAGAAAAAAGAAAAATGCAGAAAATCGGAAATGTTCCAATTTTCCTTTCATTAATGCAAATTTTTCGGGTGTTAAAAATAAATATGGTTCCACTCAGGATGTTGACTCTAGCGCGAGCACTGCCTCGGATAATCTACAAACAATAACCTTGAGAAAAAGTATTTAAATTGTTAATTTTTTGACCTAAAATGGTCCGTTGATTTGATAATTTAGGCATGGCCAAGTATAGCAGACTAGCCAAGCTTTACTTAGAGAACCAAAACCCGGATTTAATCTGGTAATAGTTTTTTTTTTTTTTTCTACAATTCATGCATGTTTGATTAATGGTGCTAATTTTCTAAACACTTTGACAAGTGAAGCTAGGAAAGAAACAATGCGAAAATTTTGTATCATAAATTTGAGAAGAACACAAACTGCTCTGGAGCTGCATTTGCTCCTAAACGTGGAGGTTCTGAGGAAAACGATGGTTGGATCATTTGTTTTGTTTTGTTTATAATAAAGATAACGGTACATCTCAGGTAATCATAAATTTGAGAAGAACACAAACTGCTTTGGAGCTGCATTTGCTCCTAAACGTGGAGGTTCTGAGGAAAACAATGGTTGGATCATCTGTTTTGTTTTGTTTATAATAAAGATAACGGTACATCTCAGGTAATTCATTTACGTCTTCGGTAATTGTTGTTATTGAAGTCTTTTCATTTTGATGTAAATTTATATTGATTAAAACACATTTCTTGCAGGTTTACATAATTAATGCAAAGAACTTTACTATTGTGCCAGTGGCCAAAATTACGCTGCCATGTAGAGTGCCATATGGTTTTCATTCAGCTTTCATATCAATGCCCTCTCAACAATTACAGGATCAATACTGCTCCGAGACAGGAGAGGACTTATTTGGAAGCTGAAATTGGACAGTTTTTATTTCAGTTTTTTTCTCACATTAGAACTAATGATGAGAATCGTTAGTCTCTGCCTATAATCTTTCATCAAAAAAATAAATAAAACTTTAGTAGACGTGGAGAAAAGCTACGTCATTGGCAATAAACACTAAAAATTATTAGATGGTTCTACACTATTTGATACTTGGTGGATTACTCTAATAAAAATTAATGTTCAGTTTTGTAATATATTATTAATACACTCATGTGGGGGCTATTTTTATAAACTGATGTTGTGATGTTTTTGTCCTTCTAAAATAGTGATTAAGACACGTACTTACTCTTCTAAATTTGTACTTATGATAAAAGAAAATTACTCCAACTTTTTATGGAGTTAAATGAGTAGCCATTTTAATTCTATGGAGAGGTTATTTCGATTTTAAATTCTAACCTCTAAATCAAACAACTTTACCATCAGGCCAACTTCTTCCACTTTCTATACATTTGGTTTAATTATTCTTTTGAAAAATCACTTTGGACTATTCTTTCGCACTAATTATCCTTTATGGTAAGCTTTTCTTTCAAATTTATAATTACAAATATACCCTCAAGTTCTAATACATTTGTACCTAACTTCTAATATTTTGGTTGGGGTATAGGTATGTTTTCTCCACCACTATCACACCAGTACCTCTGAGTCTTTTATTTCCATCTTTCCACCCCACCACCGTCGCCCGATCCCTACTCACCACCATCGTCTCCCCCACTACCACCACCATCGGCGGAGACACCCATTCCCCAATCAAATACACCCAACAAGTGTTGATCCAATTTACATGCATTAATCCAATCCCACAAACAACAAACTTATCAAAACCCCATTATGAGTTTACTGAGATTACATCAAACAACACCACAAATTTATCATAACAACATTACAACCAGGGATGGAGTCAATGAAGGCCTAGGGGGGGCACGTGCCCCCCGATTGGCCAGCAACCTATAATATATGTGGTAATTTTTAAAAAAAATTTCATATATATGACAAAATTTATATAGTGTCCCCTCAAATTTGTAATTCCCAATATTATATTCTTATTTTTTCTTTATTTTCTCTTTTACTCTTTACATTCTTTAAATTTTCTTCCTCAATTGAAACTTTTTAACTATTTCCTATTACAGTTTTTTCATTTTTATTTTCCTTTTTATATTTTAATAATTTTCCCGCTCCACCACATGATATGATATTGTCCGCTTTGGGCCTAAGCCCGCACGATTTTGCTCTTGGGTTTCACCCCAAAAGGCCTCATATCAATTGGAGATGATGCACTTACATATAAGCACTTCACCTTTCCTCTACCCAGGCGATGTGGGACTGTGCACCCGTAGCTTGCCAGTGTGGTAGCCTGACAGTGTCTCTCGCACCCGCCCACGGCACACCCGCCCACAAGGTCATCACAATCCACCCCCCTTGGAGGCCCGACGTCCTCGTCGGCACACTTCCGGCTGGATCAGGCTCTGATACCATTTGTAACGACCCACTCCACCACATGGTATGATATTGTTCGCTTTGGGCCTGAGCCCGCACGGTTTTGCTCTTGGGCTTCACCATGTGGTGGAGTGGGTTGTTACAATTGATATCAGAGCCTGACCCAGCCGGAAGTGTGCCGACGGGGACGTCGGGCCTCCAAGGGGGGTGGATTGTGATGACCTTATGAGCGGGTGTGCCGTGAGCGGGTGCGATAGACACTGTCAGGCTACCACACTGGCGAGTTACGGGTGCACAGTCTCACATCGCCTGGGTAGAGGAAAGGTGAAGTGCTTATATGTAAGTATGTCACCTCCAATTGGTATGAGGCCTTTTGGGGTGATGCTCAAGAGCAAAACCGTGCGGGCTCAGGTCCAAAGCGGACAATATCATACCATGTGGTGGAGCGGGTCGTTACAGTCTTTTTAAATTTTATAGTTGTTATATATATATATATATATATATATATATATATATGTACTCCGTATTATTATTATTATTTTTTTGACAGTGTGCCCCCCTCACTTGAAATCCTGGCTCCGTCATTTATTACAACCCAAATGCTTCACCCTGCTAATGGAGCTCTGTATCTATCCACACGCAAGCCTATACCTTCATTCTAATAAAACCATTCTCACTGTCAGTGTGGTCGCAGCAGATCGAAATGGAAGAGTCTGATTGGGTTTGGGGATCTGATTGGAAGTTGGTTTGTGTCCACCGCAGATTAGAGTATAAGAAAGATTGCTTGCTTAAACCCTAGATAAAATTTCAATTCAATAAGATTTAAATGCTAGACATGGAAGTTTCATTCTTTGCCAATTTGGGAGATGCAAATTTAAAGAGCAGAGAGAGTAGAATTTTGTAAGATGGGAGGAGAGAGAAGAATATGAAACCTAGGAGGGTGGTTTATGTCCTTTTTTATTTTTTATTTTAATTGATTTTAACAGGAGGGTTGAGAGAATTGCAGCAAGTTCCTCTGCAAATCAGTGTTTCTGAAATCATCAAGAACACTCCTGTGAGACTATTGGATGCCTTTGCTGACTCAGTGTTCGAATTCAATGACCAGCCATTGCTCCCATCTCAGGTACCATTCTCATGCATTAGGCTTTCATAATAACACAGATGCTCGGACGCAAATTAAATATCCAAAGATTTGGTAATTTTCATTGGTTAGGTCATTAATTATATCTACTACTTACAGAGTTAACTTTGCTCTGGTTGAAGACTTGGGAGCTAAGTCACACAATTCTCTCAATGGTGCCACTTTCACCATGCGAGTGCGCGTGCTCTTGCCCCATTCTCACTCTGTGTGATTCAGATTTTGTTACTTTCGCACCCATTCCACTCTCTATGGTTCAGATTTTTCAGCTTTCACACTCCCGCATCCGAATTTGCTCTCACTCTAGTTCTCCCTCTGTGACTTAAACTTGGGAGAGGCTGTTCTTGTTACCAATACTGAAGGGTGGGATTCCAGATGATTGTCCGGAGGGTGTTTGCATAAGAAATGGTACATAATATCCTTCAAATATCATATTGTAACATGCATAATTGTTTTTTATGTCATAGTTCCTATATTCCTTAACCAGTGGGGTTGTATATTTTAATCTTCAAACTATTTGGATTATTATTTTTCGATGAAGACAAAACAGAGGACAAAATTGTTTGTGAGACAATTAAGAAGCTAGAAAGCATCAATAATGATAGGAAACTGATGACATAAATATATGAATTGAGTGTGAGGTAACTAAACATCTGATGATAAAAAAATTAGCATAGGGCTATTTCAAAATCTAAACCGACCTGCAATTGTAACCTACCCCTAATAGCATTATAGAACGGGCTAAATATTTAAATACAATTGGCTGGAATATACTTATTGTATGTTTACGATAAGTTCAACCTGCATAGGTTATTTTTGCTTTTTGTTCCATCTGATCATGACGGAGTGTTTTTCAATTCACTTAAAAAATATATCATGACACACAGACTGTTAGTGTGACTCTCTATCTCATTAGGTAACTAGGAAATTACCTGATTAATGCTCGACAAAAATAACGTTTGGAGTATTCAAACATATTATTTGGCCAAATATCTATAATTTGGACAGAGTAACTTGACATTTGCAGACTTTATTTATTTATTTTTTTTTTGCCAAAAACTTTATTTCAAACAATTTAGGTTCAGGCTATGCTAAAATCTACCTTAAAAAAGCAAAGTACATAGATAATGGACATTTAAGGTACACAATAATCTGTTATTTGTTCTTGAGTATTTCAGTTAAGATTTGGCAAAGAAAACAAATACTTCAGCAACACCAATGTCTTCGTGCATTGGAGGAAATTATACTCAATTGCTGAGAATCATATACCTCAAGAGATAGACATCCTTACAGTAGAAACTTTAGGCAATTGGGATGTCAAATGGAGCTTGGAATCAACCTTTCACTAGCCATTCGAAGGTACTAATTTATTAAGCTATACAATAATATTTTATCTTTGATTTGATATATATCTAATAACTTATTATTTTGGTCAAGTAACAACTTTACATTCTAATGTCTTGTTCTCTTTTTTAGCTGACGTAAAGAAATTAGAACATAAAGTGGATCTCAAATTCAAAAGGTGCACCCTTTGCCATGAGATCTGGTAATAGGTTTCTTGCAAATTTTTATTTATTTCTATTTTGTTTCATGCATGATTGACTGTGCTAAACACTTTGACATGTGAAGTAGGGAAAGAGACAATGCGAAAATTTCATAAAGGTTGAATATCATAAATTTGAGAAGAGCACCTTCTGCTCTGGAGCTGCATTTGTCCCTAAAGATGGAGGTTTTGAGAATGACGATGGTTGGATCATCTCTTTTGTTTATAATGAAGATAACGGTACATCTCAGGTATTAATAATTACTGTTATTGATAACTTTTCATGTTGATGTAAATTTACATTGATTTAAACACAATATTTCTTGCAGGTTTATATAATTGATTCAAAGAAATTTACTAGTGAGCCAGTGGCCAAAATTATCAATGCCCCATCAACAATAACAGGATCAGAAACTTTGTGGAACCAGGATATTGTATAAAATATAGTCAATATTTAAATAGTAGTGGGTTCAACTGGTTATACTAAGTGATTGGCATGAAATTATATTAATTCCTTGCTGTCTTAGTGTCCTTTATGTAATTGTATGTATATTTTATATGGAGAGATTTGTGTGTTTGTTGGTGTAGTTCTATGAAGCACGGACACTCCTTCCAGGGGTCCCGACACCCGTGTCCGAGGCTCGGACACGTGTCCGACACTTCTATAAAGTGTCCAAATATTATTTTTTATTGGACACGCATGTCCGAGGCTTGGACACACGGTCCGACACTTTTATGAGACAAAATTTATTTTCTCACTCCTCTCAGTCTCTCATATTCTTCAATTATCTCTCTTCATGAACAAGATATATATATATATATATATATATATATATATATATAAGTTACATGAACAAAACTTTGTGAAAGACTGAAAGTATACATGTTTATTCATATACATATTTAGTTCATTATAGTTATGTCTCTTCTGCACATCTTCGTTTGGAATTTGGATCAACTTTATTTTTCATTTATTTTCTGTTTTGTCTTGTCTATATTTTTCTTATAACAGAGATGAAATTATTGATATTGATTCTGTTATTTGTTGCTGTTTTATTTATCTGTACAAGATTCTAGTAATTATATTTTGAATATATAATTATATATATATATATATATAGATATATATAATTTATAGGCGTATTCCCGCCGTGTCCGTGTCCTATTTTTTTGAAATTTGCCGTGTCACCGTATCCGTGTCGTGTCGTACCCGTGTCCCGTATCCGTGTCCGTGCTTCGTAGGTGTAGTTGTAATATGATTGTACTTTCATACAAATATTTTATTATTATTTTTTATGTTGTGCATATGCATATGAAGAATTGTATTTGCCCCCCTTTTTTGTGTTTTTTGAACATCAACGAGGATACTGAAGCCTTTTCCTAGGGAATATCTTCTAGTTGTGCTCACTATATTTAATTGTCACGTGTTCAACATGTGGTTGTTTTGCATGTGCACGTACAAATAAATATACATGTCAGACATGATCATGAGAAATATAGCATCTTAACACTCATGGTATCATTTGATGCTGTTTTGTTAGTATTTCTTGTCAATAGACACTGATATGAATTACTGTGCTTTACAGACTTTACAGTACGGAGAGCTTATATAATTTTGGATGTTAAACAATTTCATTACAAATATTAGATGGGTGTTTTAATCCTATTTATGAGTTCTAAAAATATTCATGGTCCTCGTACAACCATAATGTATTAGATCTTGTCGTCATCTAGTGTTGTCATCAAGGTCCACTAGCATCTAAGCAAGCAAAAGATGCTTATTGATAGTGTCGGATAAGACATGACAAATACACATACTAACACCTACAAGTATGTGCAGTTAAGTTTCTAACATGAGAAAGAGAACCATTTCTAAGACATCAGCCTGAGAGAGAGAGACAGAGAGAGAGAGAGAGAGACAGATCTAGAGAGATGGCCATTTCGACTTGTGAATTTCAAGTGAGTTGCTGCGTCCAGAGGCCTTCAATGTCACGCAGAATTGATCACCTAAAGACCTCTCTCTCCTCTGCTTTCAAGGTTATTAAATCTCAGTAATTTATAGGAGTATATTATATATGTGTCGTGCATGTTTCTCAAATTCTAGTTTAATTAGTTTTTTATTTTAGAGTTGTGTTTATTAGTTAATTTATTGTTGTGCAAGGAATTGTGATTTTAGAATTTGGGTTTTGGATAGATATCTAGGTTGTGGGTTGAGACTTACGAGAAAGAGAGATGTGTAACACCTAATTTCATAGTGGGTGGTGGTAGAATGGGTATGTAGTTATGGGTTTGGTAGGTTGAAAACAGGTAGAAACTGAGGGCGAGAGGGAGTCTGGAATACATGAACTAGAACTCCAGGACAAGAGTTTGCGTGCGTGATTTGGTGTTGGAAATTCTTAGTTTTAGCTGAACCACGTAAATATTGTGTTTTGTTTGTAATTGTTTACTCTTCGCAACAAAATCATGCAAATAATACATAACTGATATAATTTTGGTTTCAGAAAGTTCCTTTGCAAATCAGTGTGTCTGAAATAATCAAGAACACTTCTGTGAGACTGCTGGATGCCTTTGTTGACTCCATGTTCGAATTCCACGATCAACCATTGCTCCAATCTCAGGTACCATTGTGATGCATTAGTCTTTCTTAATAACATAAATGCTAGGACACGAATTAAATACAAAGATTTGGTAATATGATTGGTTAGTTGTTAATTATATCTACATATTAGCAGAGTAACTTAGCTCCAGTTGAAGAAGTGGGAGAAGCTGTTCATGTTACCAACATTGAGGGGAGGATTCCAGATGATTTTCCGGAGGGTGTTTACATAAGAAATGGTGCATAATCCTTCAAAAATCATATTTTAGCATGCATAATTCTATGTCATAGTTCATATTATCCTTAACTAGTGAGATGTATTATATTTTAATCTTCACACTATTTAGATTATTATTTTGGCATTGCTAGTTTGAAGAATTTTATTAGAACAAAATGATGAAGGGAGGACAAATTTGTTTGTGAGACAGCAAGAAAGCATTGATAATATTAGAAAACATAAATATATAAATTGACTAGGAGGTAAAAAAAATAAAAATTGATGATGATTAAAAAAATTGACAAGAACTAACATTGACTTTGATATATACAGAATCTAAACCAACCTGCAATTGTAACCTACCCCTAATGGCATTATATAGCAACATAATATTTAAATACAATTTGCCGGAATATAACTATTGTAAGTTGATGATAAGTTCAACCTACATAAGAATTCTTTCAGCTTTTTGTTTCATTTGATCATGATAGAGTACTTTTCGATTCATACTTAAAAAATGTCACGGCACACAAACTGTTAGTGTCACTCTCTATCTTATAATTTGTTGATGCTTAATTGTTGGCAGTCAAAGTGACAAACAAGGTGACATTTTTATTAAAATCACAAATATATATATACACACACACACACACACACAATAAATTATTGATAAATTTGAAAATGTATGTTAAAATGTTGTAAACTTGTGAATTGTATTGTATTTGCAGGCCCAAACCCTGTTTTTGGAGGATTAAAATCAACAATTTCTATGTTCGGAAGATCAAGTCACATTTGGGTGGAAGGAGAAGGAATGCTTCATGCTTTGTATTTTAATAAAGATAGCGGTGGAACCTGGACTGTCTTCTATAACAACAAACATGTTCATACCGAGACATTCAAGTTAGAAAGGCAAAGAAATAAACCATTGTTTCTTCCGACTGTCGAAGGGGATAGACTGGCTATTTTGTCAGCTTATCTGCTAAATTCGGTGAGCAGATTTTCCCAGTGATGTACCTAATTAAACTAGGGCATGTATCTATTAATTTTAGATCGAGCCTGTATTCTCCTAACTAGTTAGATAGGCAAAAATAATGTGTGAAGTCTGCAGACACATTATTTGGCCAAATATCTGTAATTTAGACAAAATAACTTGACATTTGCAGACATGTTTTGCCAAATTTTGGCTATGCTAAATTCTACCAAAGTAAGCAAAGTACATGGATAATGGAAATTTAAAGCGTAGTATAATCTAATATTCGTTCTTAAATGTTTCAGTTAAGATTTGGCGAAGTAAACAAATATGATAGTAATACCAATGTTTTCATGCATTCGGGGAAGTTATACTCAATTACTGAGAATCATATGCCTCAAGAGATAGACATCCTTACACTAGAAACTTTAGGCAATTGGGAATTCAATGGAGCTTGGAATCGACCATTCACTAGCCACCCGAAGGTACTTAATTCATTAAGCTATACAATAATATTGTACTTCGATTCGATATCAAAAAAACTTAATGATTTTGCTCGAGTAACAATTTTACATGCAGAAAGTTCCAGGTACCGGGGAGCTGCTCATAATGGGGTTTGATGCAAAGAAACCTTACTTTGAGCTTGGAGTGATTTCAGGTACACTCTTGTGGTGTTTTAGGGAAAGGGAAACATTTAAAGCAAGATCAAAGAAATTAGTACGTAAATTGTTTACGAATTCTAATGCCTTTTGATTTCCTCTCTCTTTTCCAGCTGATGGAAAGAAATTAGTACATAAAGTGGATCTCAAATTCAACAGGTGTACCCTTTGCCATGATATAGGTGTTACACAGAGGTGAATTAATAATAATCCAATGTCTTTGCCTCTGTACTTTTATTTCCATCAATTTTAATTCAACTTATTTAATATGGTTCTATGGTTGGCAGGTATAATGTGATCATAGATTTTCCACTAACTGTAGACATAAACAGACTCATTAGAGGAGGCGCGTGAGTACATAATTTTGAGTCTTTTCCCAAATAACTTTAAAATAATAAGCTTAAGATTTCATCTTAATTATTGTCTAAAATATTAACATTAATTTGCAGATTGATGAGGTATGATAAGGAAGGGTATGCAAGGATTGGGGTAATGCCTCGTTACGGTGATGCAGAATCGGTTCAGTGGTTTGAGGTGGAACCAAGTTCTGTTTTTCACATTCTCAACTGTTATGAGGATGGTGATGAGGTAACCATCTGCAAGAACAAAACAGTACAAATTGTTAACATCTTCTTTTGAGCAGTCCATGCCTTTGAAAAGAATAATTCAAACCGGTAACTGATTCACCAGTTTGAAAATTTTGTTTTTCGAGGAAGAACAGGTTGTAGTGTGGGCATGTCGAGCTCGTGGATCAATCATACCAGGGCCTGATTTTGGTTTGAACAAATTTGAGTGGTTTTCAAGAGGTTTTAAGCCAGTGAGTTCAGTTGGAGAAAATGATGACGGATTATTATTTTCTCGTTGTTATGAATGGAGATTAAACATATTAAGTGGAGAGGTCAAGGAAAAGAATCTCACCGGAACTGAAATCGCTATGGATTTTCCTATGATTAATGAAAATTTTGTGGGTGCTAAAAATAAATATGGTTACACTCAGCTTGTTGACTCCTGTGCGAGCTCTGCCTCAGGTAATCTAGAAAAAAGATTAGTCATATAATTTAAATTATGAATTGTTTGACTTAAAATAGTGTGTTGATTTGATATATTAGGCATGGCCAAGTATGGTGGACTAGCCAAGCTTTACTTAGGAAAACATCTGGTAATTTATTTCTTGCACACTTTTATTATTTATTTATCTTTTCCACTGTGTTTCATGCATGTTTGATTGTGGTAAACACTTTGACATGTGAGGCAGGGAACGAGACAATGTGAAAACTTCGTAAAGGTCCAACATCATAAATTTGGGAAGAATATCTTCTGCTCTGGATCTGCATTTGTCCCTAAACGTGGAGGTTCTGAGGAAGATGATGGTTGGATCATTTGTTTTGTTTATAACGAAGATAACGGTGCATCTCAGGTAATTCATTTTTGATTTATTGATAAATTTTCATGTTGATTAATTTAAATGTATATTGATTTAAACACATTTCTTGCAGGTTTATATAATTGATACAAAGAACTTTACTAGTGAGCCAGTGGCCAAAATTATGCTGCCATGTAGAGTGCCATATGGTTTTCATGGAGCTTTCATATCGATGCCCTATCAACAATAACAAACAGGATCGGAAGCTTTGTGAAACCAAGATACTGTATAAGAAATAGTCAATATTTACATAATATTACTTACTTCTTGCCTACTGTCATTTATGTTATTGTATGTAAATTTATATGGAGAGATGTGGTTTCTGTAATGAAAAGTCTTTTGTTTTAATTATGTAGTAGTATGGAAATATTTTTGTTCAAAAAATAGTTAGATATTTGTGTTGATTCTGAATAAATATATTTTGCTGTTTTGTGGAAAAATAATGATAATAGTAATAAAATAAAATAAAAATTGCCATAGCACGACTCAGAATTAATTTTCATTTCTTTAATTTCTTTGGAGAAATAATGAATGAAATAGAGTTAACTAGCTATATGGAGTCTAATGCAGTGGTTTAAGTTATGGCAATGACATGAGAACTGAAGTGGATGGAGGGTCTAACGCTGTAGCCTTGTGAGTCAAAATTAAAGGTTGTGAGGGTGCAAGTTTTCATAATGAAAACTTTTGTTGCTAGGGGCATGACCGGAAAAAAAAAAATGCAATGACCCTGTTGTAAAATGGAGATTTGAATTAGGGTTCTATTTTTATTATTGTCAGTTAAATAAATAAAAAAGAAACAAAGAAAAAATTTGCCTGAAACCTTGTAAAGGGTTAGATTGACTTAAATATGCTCGCAAGATGCACGATTTTATTCTTGGATTTTATTTTAAAATGTCTCGAATCATTTGGAGATAACATAGCACATATATGTATCACTTTCTATTTTCACACTTAAGCAATATGGGATTATGCACTCGTGTATTGCCTCGCACCCTCCCACATAATCACCACAATCTACACACTTTCGACTTGATGAGGCTTTGATACCATTTACTCTTCTATTCCAAAATTCTTGCTGTGTTTTGGAAATCCAACTTTTTATAGTAGTGAATTTTTTATTATTTTCTATTATATTAATAAGAGGAAATTTTCAAATTTATCTTTACTAAAAGACAACATGTACTTTGTAATTAGTGCACTTGTTTAATTAAGTTAATGTCAAAATGATATTTTAGAAATTTTATAAAAAGTAGAACATCTATTTTTAGAATAGGGCATTTGTTTTGGACATCCCAAAAGACAAAGATGAACAATAATTTTGGTACGTTGGGAGTATATCAACAAGTATGTAGCACTACCGAAACTTATGCCTATCAGACTTCCTTTATCTGATTTTTAAAAGATTGAATTGTTTGACCAATTTCAATTTTGCTATCACATTTTTTTTTTTTTTTTTTCCATTGACAAAAAACTCACACACAACGTCAGATACCCACTTTGTTTTTTTAAAAACTCCATAGAGGAAATATCACGGGGTCACTTTAAAAGGTAAAGGAAACACTACTAAATCACTTTGAAAGATAAAGGAGATACCACTTTACACTTTTGGAGACTCAAACTTTAGCCGAACTCGTACTGTGTAAATAATATTCAATTTTGCAATCACACTTTAGCCAGAGTGCAGTAGCATGAGGATATTAAAACGTTTTGCAAGCACAACATTTTGTTGTTGTGCTTACTATATTCAATTGTCACATGGTCAATATGTGGTTCTTTTGCACATACTATATTTATTTAACTGTCACATGTTGAATGTGCGATTCTTTTGGGGTGCACGTACTAGAATTCATATAAATATGCATGCTAAACAATTTTTTTTTTGGGTTAAAAATATGCATGCTAAACATGATAGCGAGATATATAGCATCTTTAACGGGCAGGGTATCATTTGATGCCATTTTGTTAGTATTTTTCTTGTCCATAGATACTGATATGAATTCCATTACAAATTTATAGTAGAGCTTAATTATGTTCCGTGGAAGGAGTTGCTAAGACTTATATGTATGAATGTCTACTAATTGTGCAGACGAGTTTTAAAAATTATGAGCACTTAAATGGAGAACGTGCAAAAATGAATAGTATTCTGGTTGTGATAAATAGTATTAGAATCAATCATCAGTCAAAAGTGGGGAACATGCACAAACTCATGCAAATGAAGTTAGCTAGAATACTGGATCCCAAGAGGTGAGAGATGTTATGCACAAATTTATACTGGTCAGGTTAGCGAAGACACTAAATCTTAAGAGAAGGTGATTGTAACGTCTTTCATTAGCACTGAGAAAAAAATATTGAAAATAACACTCAAACAAATTCAGTTTTGGTTAATCATTCAGCACATGGTGATGATGTGATTCGGAGATAATTGCCTAGAATATAGACTTGAGACAAAGTAGAGTTGGGTAGGAAAATCTTTATACAACAACGAAGTCTGAAAATGACGGAACACATTGCTAACTCTGAGGGCCCAGATTTGTGGACTTTCGATAGTCCACAAGTTAATTTTATTTGAGGAAGAAACTTGCAATTTAATTTTGTTGGTCATGTGGTTCATGTCATTAATATATATATCTATCTATATATATATATACACACACACACACACTAGTAAAACGCTACATGCATTGCATGTAAATAAAATTTAATTTAAAATTAATATTTAACAAAGTAAATAAATAATTATTTTTTCAAATTAGAATTAAAATTGATATCTTAAAATAATCACACGGATGTATTAATTTATGATCAATGAACATAAAATTGATACGAGGTAAAAGAGATAAAAGTAATAATTTTGAATTGAACTTTTCAATAGGAATTCAATTATTGATAGATATATTTTAAAACTCCTAAAACAATATCAAAATTAAAATTAATTAATTAATTAATTTTTTATATTAATAAATAAATATTAAAATACTAAAACTCTTTGTCCTTTTATTAATAGTATAGATTAATAAATAATACTGAAATACTGAATCTTTTATTAATAGTATAAATATGGATATAGATAGATAATGGCAACTTATGTTTTAACTTATTTTATTATTAATTTATTTTTAATTGATAATGATGATTTGAAATTCTTTTTGTGAGGAGTTGTATTTTGATTGTTAACTTATGTTTGTATTTTAATTGGTAACTTATGATTAATTTATTTTATTATTTATTTATTTTTAATTGATAATAATAATTTATAATTCTTGACACTCCCTTGTACTTTTAATAATAATATAGATAAATATATGTGTAACGACCCAAATCGGGGGGTCTGGATCACTAACCGGGTCCTTAACCAAACCCGATGACACACTTGGGGTAAAATGGTCATTTCACAATATTAGAGAATAATCACCCCTTAAACTAGTCAAATGAAGTTTAAAACAATCATTCTAGTCATTCCACGACATTCGAAGAGGTTCTATGGTCATCGGTTATGAATTTCCAAAAATACCCATACTCGGTTCAAGGGAAATTCCGACATTGTCCCACTAAAACAACCATCACTCTCAACATGTCTGAAATTTGAAGATGAGGTTGGTCTCATTGGAAAGTTAACTCAAAATCCTTGAAAATGGACTCAAGAATGACCCTATTTAGGTTTGGAACGAAAAAGTTATGACCAGCAGAAATTAAATGATCAAAGTTGATAAAACTATGAAGGGTAAAAAGCCACTGGAGGGCTGGAACCGGTTCCCAAATCTTGGTACCGGTTCCACATGGGCAGAATGCCCAAACGTGAACCAAAGTACCCCTTAAACCGGTTCCCGAATGAGGTACCGGTTCCCCAAGTCCAAAACCTAAAATTTTTACCCAGAAAGGGCTAAAACTGAAACACCTATATGTGGGCACTCCTTAGGTCCATAGATGACCTTATTTAAAGTCTAAACTTGCCCCCAAATCATATATATAACAATGAAATTAACACATCTAGATACCAATTCGTTCAAATGAAACCATACATGGGTCCACTCTATTGTCTAATTTTAAATAAGTCCGTAATACATCAAAATATGGCCTTAAGGCCTTACATGAGTTTCAAAAGTTTTAATTAGGCCATGAGATACAAAATGGCACCTAGTATGATTTACAACAAAAAATTAATATATACATCAAGCACAAAAAAATCCAAGTCTCTTTCAACCCGACTAGGCTTGTGGTGGATTATTGTTTGCCACTTCTTTTCCCGAACTTGAAAAATGTTAAAATTAATGGGGTGAGCATAACCCTGTGAATCCACGTAAGGAATACACGTAAAAGGAAACGGGATCATACCATAGGGAGTACATGGCAACAACTACAACAACAACAATGTAACAATTGTTATCCAAACACATACACACCACATATTCTAATAAAGTGCAATGTCATGCAAATGTCGCTCCCCATATGCGAAACATTTCCGTTTCAACTTTCAAGCCGTTAGTGTAATCCGACCAAAGGCACCTCCAAGGCATCACGAAAGGAGAATTGACTAATCATCCACGACCACAAGGTACCTCCAAGGCGTCGCATCTGGCCTAGTTAACTCAACCATACTTCCCTCTAGACTACACTAACACCACAGACCACTAGGCGCCTCCTAGACGTCTGGGTTTTCGCAAACACTTTTAGAAAACTTTTTCCCAAAAACAAGTTTTGTTTGTTTTAAAACATTTTCCCTTCTCTTTTCCCAAATGGATACATGAATGTTTCATGCTTCAATTCGACAATTCAACCATAAAACTTTCACACATATCATTCAAAGTAAATTTCTAAAATCCATAATTCATGCTTTTACTTTACATTATTCAAACATATTAGGCATACAAAACACAGATTCCATTACACATAGGCATGCTTATACACATTATTTCAACTATCACATAGATACACCTTTCACATGTAATATTTAAATAATTTGCAAGGACTTAAACTAATTAAGCATGCAATTCAACAATTAATATAGAATTAACTCACAAAAAGCATATGAAATCATGTATTAGAACACCCCTACGTCAATGGAGATGAAAACTCCCAAAACCCCAAATCAAAGCCCTAATTTCAAAAATTTCAAGGTGCACCAAATGGGGCTTGGCTCCGATCAAATTGAAGATCTTAACGCGTTCTCCGACTTGCCGCAAATGGCATCAAAAAGCTCTCAAAGATGAGAGATAAATCAAAGCTTGAATTTTTTTTATGAGAAAATAAAAAATGAAGAACAAAGAAATGAGAGGGAGAGACTTACGGGAAAGAAAGGAAATGTGAGGCCAAAATGGCCTCTTGGCCATTAGAAATGTGTGTGGGGGTGG